GGCCGAACGAAGCTTCGTTGAGCCTCGGTCTGCCACCCCAAAGGCCTCACGTAACTTCTTTCTCCACTTGGTAAGAGCCTTGGCGGCGGTGGTTGGCGTCCAGCTCGCGAGAGCAGCTTCCATCGGGAGGATCAGAGGTTCGCACCCCATCGCCCGCAGGGGGTCCACAGTGTTCTGAACGACCTGCCGAGTGCTCGTTGAGTTGATCGGTGTTGCCAAAGCCCCTCCGAGGTCCATCCAGATGGCCTGGCGGACCTGCTTCGGGGAGAACAACTGCATCCACTCGCTCTTGGTCTTCATGAGCTCCAGGCATCGGCCTAGAACCTTGTTGGCCGCCGGGGTATCGCCGTTGAGGGGAGGACGAGTGCCGACCGGCTTGGAGGTTGCCCCTGCTATCGTCACCGAGGCTCTGAAACCCTCGGTCGCACCGTCATCCGCGTCATAGGCGGGCTCGGTGCCCGGCATGTCGTTGAACGTTTCGGAGAGGTCGCGGGTGATCGACCTCGATCCTCCACTGCGGCCCGCCGACACAACCGCAGCTTCCGAAGTCTCGGACGTCACAGTCCTGACATCCCAGTCATCGTCTTCATCATCTTCCTTGGCGTCCGAGGAATCAATCGCCGTGTCGTAGCTCACCGAGCGCTCGTCGATCGACTCCATCCGATCCGTCGCTGGGGTCGAGAACGAACTCCCGGAGAGCATCGAAGCATCGTTGCGCGTTCCACTCGACTTCACCGGCGTCGCTGGTACCGCTGACTTGACTCCTTTCGCCATCTTCACACGTCTTCTTCTTCTCTTCTCTTCTCTTCTCTTCTCTTCTCTTCTCTTCTCTTCTCTTCTCTTCTCTTCTCTTCTCTTCTTCTTCTCCTCTTTGCTCGTTGGGGTAAGACCTACAACAACCCAGACACACCGATGGTCGCACCAATCCCGGGTCGCGGCACCAGTTGTGGTGTGGTAATTCCACTAAAATCCTCCTCTACCAAAAGTAATTGAGACACCAACAACACGCTAACCCGCAAAGGTAAGCGCTTATTGGATCAAAACCTGAAGACCAGGAACGATCCCTTACACCGGGTCGGTTGCAAGCGCCTCTGTGCACCTTAGGTTGTCTTCGGTCAACCCAAAAACCTGTACCACTAGCCACGAGCTAAGGCTAGGATACTATGTAGCGCTTTCGCGCAACCCCACTGCAGTCCCTCAGAAAGGAAGGGTACCGGCATGTTAGGCCTTATACAGGGGGACCAAGATAAAACCTCGGTAGGTAGACTAATACACTCAGGGATACTCTAATCCCACAAATATATACCGAACGATACTCTAATACCGTTCCTGCCTCTCCGGCCACGCCAACTCTTGGCGCTGCCAAGGAAACTCTCGGTCAATGCACGATAAGCTCCCCGACAGGCATCCACACGCAGCCGAGCGTGTCCAGGCACTACAATAAGCTAGCTACACTTACCGAAGTCGGACTTGACCCTTGTTGGCTTTGGGGGAAGAGTGTCTTTTTATTACTGAGTTTTCTGAGGCCCTGGGGGCCTCGTTCTGGCCATCCTATGATGAGTCCTATGTCCCTATACAAATATCTAGTGTGAACGATCGCAATAAGGCGATTCCGGACACATCAAATGACGACCGCGGCTACACTAATAAGTGCGGCCGAAGTACGTAACTAAATGCATCTGTGCCTAAAAGTGGGTACCATGAAGCCTCGTTCGGGGTTCTATTAGGACCCGACGAGGCTTCGGCCACTGCCTGCCACTCTACCGAGGATAATGTCATCATCCAATCAGAAGCAGCCATCTCCGTCTCTCGCTTGACCTCGCCTTGATCGCCCCTTGATTGAACTTGATTGTCGGGCTGGCGGGTCAACAGCGTTGGAAACTGCCACTTTCCAATACCACATTGGCTTGTGACCGAGTCATCGGCGCGGCCATGGTAGGCTCAATGCTCCTTGAACTACTGCTGGAGAAATCTTGGGACCGAAAAGAATCACCGGAAAGCACGTTCTGCGGGGATATCCCGTCCGGATCGATTTTGTAGATCACAGCTTGGCGTTGGTTGAGCTCACAGAGCGCGGCCTTCCTATCGCCACTCAAAACCACCTTCGACGTCTGAGATTCCAACGCTTCAGAAGCTAGCGAGTCCGCGGCAGCATTGTATTCCTGTGCGACGTGAATGTATCTCACAGATCGCAGTCGGGCCTTGACCTCCTCGTGGTAACTCGGTTGAGTCATCGCCCCGGAGTCAGCTGCCCCTAGCGAGTGCAACAACGCCAGCCTTGAATTGCTAACAACGACCAAGTCGTCGGCACCGAGTTGTAAAGCCGCCAGCACGCCGTATGTCATACCGGCGCTCTGGGCAAGGGGGCTCGTCGTGTCGGCGAGGTAAGCGTTCGCGGCAATCATCAATTTCCACTCCGGTAGGCGCCACACAATCCATGCGCAGCTTCCATCTGCACCATACTGCCCAGGCTGTGTCAAGCCCGCGAAAGATACCACGCACCCCGTATGACTCTTCGGAAGCCGTGTCTTTGAGAGGCTTAACGCAGTAGGAGTCGTCGGGAAACTTCCAGTCGGTAGCCACGCGCTGTCATTTGTCGCATCATCCTCGTCCATGTCCAGTACGCTCATCACCGACATAAAGGTATGCTCCGCCATAGTGAGGGGAGTGTGCGCGTCGTAACGGGGGACCAGATGAGTTGTCGGTGCTTCATTGGTCAGGTCACAATGCGGTTTCAAATCCGGAGTGTCTCCGTTTGTCGCCACAGTCGGAAACTGAGTTATCGAGGGTTGATCGGGAGCAATTTCGGCCACTTGTGGATCGGCTGGCGTGTCGTCGGGAGCGACTTGACTGCTTCTGCCCGGTCCCAAGGAGCTTGGTTCCGGATCATTGCCCACTGGCAAGCCGTCAGAATCCTCACCCCCGTCGCTGTCGAACAGCTCCGAGATTTGCTCGCCCCGAGAGTATTCGGGAGGACGTTGGAGCAGTCCGGTTGGAATAGGGTACTCGGGTCGGTCCACTGCCGACGGCTGGCCGGCTAACCATTGAGCGTAAAGCTCGGCTTCCCGCTTGAGCAGCGTCTTATCGCGGGCCGCTTCGTAGGCAAGAATTTGCCATTCTCGATACTTGTCAGAGTCGAGCCGCACATATCCCTCAGACTTCGGCAACGACCCGATTGGTACCCACACCACGATGGTTGTGTGAGCCGAGCAGATCGTGAGCCGAGTGTCAATGTTCGTCAGTCGGATCCGCTGCGGTCGTCCCTTGTGGAACCGCTTCACCGTAGGGATGAGCTTGTCGGTCCATCGGATCCACGGCACGTGAGTCGTCGGGGACGGACGTTTCCGTTGCATTCGGAACTCTTTCCATTCTCGGCCGAGAATCTGCAGCACGTCGACCGGGCCCCCGTTGACGTGGACCCCTTCGGCCTCGTCGACCATGTTCTGCGTCTTGATCAGCGGGATCATTACTTCGTCCGGTAGCTTGGCCGCCGCGTTGAAGAGATCCAGCCGGATGTCAGCCGGGATCATGAAGTCGGTGCCTAGCACCACGTTAACACCGGCATTGTGGTCGATAATCCACATCTCGAAAACATAAACGCGTTCCCATCCGAGCGTGATCTTCACAGACGCCCCCGAGTCGTCGTCGCCTTGCCCTTAGTGATACCCTGGACCTCCATACACCGACCATGACCCGGAATATCCTAGATCCTCAGCTGGTTGGCATACTTCTCAGAAATAACACTGACGTTCGCTCCACTGTCCAGCAAGATCCGCGTCCGCGAGTCGTTGACCGCTCCGTTCACCAGCGTCCTCATACGTACTCGTCGGTCAAATTTCTGCGCCGACCACCATCCCATGCGTTTTCCGGGCAGGAGGCGTACCTCCACGTCGAGTCGTCGGCGCGATGCTTCCTGCACTGCACTTGTCATCCAGTCTTCGGTAGTGTCTTCAATCACTTCGTCATCACTCTTCTCACTCAAATCACCTCCACCGAGGCCTTCGCCTCTCTCCTTTTCGAATTCCGTCGCGTTCACCCATGTACCTCGTCCTTCATCCGGCCATTCGCGCTTGCCCACAAAAGCGTAGATACACTCCGCTTCGACTACAGGCTCGGCTAACTGTGGCAGCCCGATTGGGACCAACCCAGTTTCAGTTGGCGGGCTGCCTAGTTTAAATGTTCCGTGAAGAGGAGGTTCTCGAGCTCAGGAGTGAGGTCCTTCTTGTCCACTTTGTTGCGAACAAGCTTGGTGAGTTCTTGGAAGACCTCGCACCGGCCTGCGTCGTGTACTTGCTTGCATAACTGGCAGCGCCGGTTGCAGAAGTGGGCCGAGTGGGAAAGAACGCCACAGGCCGCGCAAGGACCGTACTGGCGTTGTCGATTGTCGTGACCGCCTCGGCGCTGGTACCGGTTGTCCCGACTGGGTTCCCGGCCACTCTGATCGCGTCGGGGAGGCCGGTTGTCGGACCTGGCTACGTGCCGTCAGCTGCCGCGCATCGCTCACTCTCGTTCGCAGCAGCCACGTAGTGGTCGCTGTCATCCGACGAGTAACCATCGTGTCTGCCTTCTTCGGAGTACCACGAGTCGTCGGAGCCTTGATCGCTGGCGGCGTCGCTGTCATCGTTGAACTGCTGGCGCGCACTGTCGCGTCCGGTCGAGGTGCTCCTGGCGTCCCGTCCTTGCAGCTCAGCGACTATGTCTTCCACAGATGCGTCAGCCAGGGTCACGCGAGGAACGTTCCTGGAGTCGTCGCGACGACGCTCATAATCTCGTTCGCGTCGATCCCCACGGCTGTGGCCAGTTCGCGAGTCATCGCGGCGGTATCCGTCTCGGGTGTCTTGGCGGTGCCGGTCATCTCGGCGACGCGAGTCATACGCGTGTCATCACGT